AAGACCTCACACTTCACGGCAGAAAATAGGAGCTCAGGTGAGGGCAAAAGTTCATGCACAAGCCACCTGGCCGTTTTGTTTGTGATATCTTTCTGAGGCCAAGTGTGCCTCTAGAAGAAATTGAAGACTACAAGCAGGCCGTGGAGAGGGGATGGAAGCAAAACACGCTGACAGCAGCAGACTTAGTTAGTGGTTTCAAGTTTCTTCATTTTCCACAGATGCAGCCGGCTCATGATTGCATGATTGATGACCCCCCGTGGATTTCCCAGTGACCAATTCCAGGCGGATGGCTCCATCCTACTGCTCGTGCATGCAACAACATTGCAGGTTGCCCAATGTTTTCGTTCGCAACTCGAAGCACCTTTCCATCAGTTGTGTTTCTGACTTTAGTGTACTTGACAAAATCCTTTAACACCCCATGTCGGGTCCAGCCCATGCTTGCTGTTCGTCGCTGGAGGCTGTGGCAACTGAGATCCACTTCAAGAGTTGGTCCAAAGAGTTGAAGAGCTTCATGCACGGGAAGAAAACAGAGGATTACCTGATTCGTGACAGGTGGGGTCCTTCAACTCTTCTTGCATTCGTTAGTTTACCTTTGGCCAGGCATGGACATAACATCCAATGGCATGACTCCACCATTGAGCCACCTGCTTCTGACCAATTCCCTTTGGTGATCTTGCACCGCCAGGCCATGTTGTCATGGAAATATCTCTCAACAGCGCATCACATGCCTGAAGCTGCCATGAAGAAGCAGAAGAATAATAATAAGAAGAAGAAAAGAAGAAGCAAAATAAGATTCTTTCTGAACCCTTTTTGAGAGGAATTAGATTTGGCTACTGTTTAGACTGGTGCAAGGAGTGAGCTGGCGGGGCAGATGTGATAACAAGTGAGTGGAGGGCAACGGTGAGTTCGTTTTAAGCAACAATCCTTTGACCAGCCACGGTTCTTCTTCTCAGGTATTTTGAAGAACTGTTGTTTGGGATGATGTCAAGCCGTTTGGGTCTAAAGAGGCCCATGGAGGTTTGCCTTCTTCCTTTGAGAAGCACAGGGCAGAGTCAATGGTCACCCTCCACGAAAAACTTGCAGAGAGTGCTGTGCGTCACATCATTCTTCGATACTCTCAGACGCTTGTATTTGGCTCCCGGCTTGCGTCAGAATACTCCATTTACTTCAGCATCAAATTAAGTATTCCTTGTGATTGTATTTGGTCGGTTGTTGAGACTAGAGAAAATCCCACTGAATGTGTGAGGGGCACATAGCTGAGGGTCCAAAGCGAGCTAGCCTCGCACCTCTGGTTGAATGTGAAAGTTGTGGTCATGCGGATTCATGCAATCACTTCACAGGATGCTGTTGTCCTCCCACCGAGACTATATATATCCCAAGTTTTGTGTCTTCTCTACCGAAGCATGCGTGTATTTGGTGGGTTGATGTCAAACTTAGGGACATTTGTTGTCAACTTTCCGTTTTAAGGCTCAGATAAAGACTGATGGTGTGCTGCAGCCGTTCTTGCTCAACGTTGTTTGAGCCAAATCTCATGAGTGATCAACCTACTGTGTACGTAGCTCTAAAGTTGAGAGTGTTGCTGGAATGATTACCAAACTCTACTTGGCTTACAGTTTTGGTTGACACTTGGGACAGTTAAACAGCAATTTTTGCCTTGGCAAGCAGACAGAGTATAGCAACAGGCATAATAATTGTTAGGCACAAACTCTTTCTCTGTAAATGAGTTTTTTAGTTTATTTCTCTCCAGCAAAGCATTTTGCAATGGTGTGAGAGACATCCAGATGAGTCGGCAGGCCAGTAGCCGAGGTGATATGTGATGAAGAAAGCAGATTGCGAAAGGACGTGCAGCGTCTTTGTGCATCCTCTTGGGGCCTGAAGGTTTATTGTTGAGTTTGGCCCAGAGATCAAGATAGATTTTGGGAGGGTCGGGGTCCTTGTGGCCTCAGCTTCTTTTTCTCATGCTGGATGGAGAACCCATGTACGTCAGCGCCATGCAGCAACCGGAGCCGTGACTCAGATGCATGATATGTCAGTGCATTTCCTTTTGTTTAACGCTGCAGCGACTAGTAGCGTCCTTGTTCCTACTAGCGATGGCCTCCAACCTAATAGCCATGGCCTCCACCTAGTAGCGTCCTTACGGTGTTGTATTTTTGCAGTCTCTGCAGACCTTTGCAGCACTGCTTTTTCATTCTCTGCTGGTTTGAGAGGGCCACAGAGCCCCAAACATGTAAGCACTTCCAGTCTCCATGACGTGCAGGGTCTACATCGCTATCCTTGACGGCCGCGTGCAACCTACTCTGATGTTGGACAAACAGCCGGTAGCCACCACTTTGGCTAGTCTTTTGGCTTTGAATGGAGGGGAGAGACAGTTAGAGGTAGAACTCTCTGAAAGTCACTGAAGTCACCTTGCGCATTCTTCTTGAGAAAGAATGAGAGAACAAGAGGGAGGGCCAAGATGGAAAAGCCGCGCCCAACTAGAGAAGCTGAGCAAATCAGAGAAATCGGTGGACATCCAGAATCTGGACTTCTGAGGTCAAGCTAGTTGTCGAGATGACTATTGCTCAGACGCCTGACCTTGCTTGCAGTTGTATTCGCCGAAGGGTGCAGGCATATGAGTTCAAGACATAATGCCTACCCAATTCCCACTACCAAGGTTATGTCTTGGCCAACCACCTAGCCACTACCAACAAGAGTGCCTTCTTGTGCGACGGTGCTATAGATAGGCTATTTCACCAAACACGTGTTGCGAATGAAGAAATTAGATGCAAGTCGAAAGTTCAAATTTGCTGTGAAATGCCATCAACAGGCCTCAGGGGCCAGTTGTGATTTAGTTGCAAAGCCTAGGATGCGTCGCGGGGCTGTTTAATCCGCGGGACTTCAGCCTCGAGCAGATGCAGTGCCAGCACCAGTACGACTTGCAGCGGGCACAACGCCATTTGCTGTAATTTAAGACGTTGATGTTATAACACATAACATGATGATGAGACTATTGTGTCTTCTTGCCGGTTAGGTAGACGAGTCGGAGGAGTATAGTGTGGGGCAGGATTGGCCCAGGCCGCCTGTCCAGTGGGAAATCGTTCACAAGGGCTTTGCAAGTAGTGGCATTCTGATTCGTAGTAGCAGCAGGTATAGAGTCGGTATACAGCGAAGTCTTCGAACCTGAATCCTTCAGTAGCATGAGGTGAGAGAAATCTCACTTCTAAGCAAAGTTTGAAGCCGTCCTTTTGGGATTGAAATTGTTGAAGCTTGGAGGTTAGTATGGTGCGAAGGAAGTCCAGAAAAGCGTGCAGATCAGATGGAGGCGGGGTCAGGGTTCTAAACCAAAGATCGCCTAGCTGACATTTGTTTCTTCTTCTTCTTCTTCTTCTTCTTTGAAGGAAAGCATAAGAATGAGAGCGTTGCCTGAACTGTCCAAAAATCAATCTAAGCCCAATGAAAGGACCCCCGATGTGTTCCGCATTTAGTTGTCTCCCCTACCGGCTGACTTGACCAGGCACTCGCCGTCGATCACCTTTTGCCTAGACACTTCGCGTCTCCCTCCAGTTTCACGCGTTGGTACTTCGATCAGAGCCGCCCCGGGCAGGCCGGAGGTTTTTTGTTTTTTCATGAATAATGATAAAGTAATGAGCTTTAAACATGCCAAGTGTAAAGTCATGAGTCAGAGTCATGAGTTTTGAAGTGTTCATCAGGACTCTTGCTCTACAGTAACTCTTTTGGCATAAATAGAGCCTGTACATACGTCCCTGGAAAAGTGTTTCCCTCTACCACTCAGTGGTGCTGGAGTCAGGAATATGTGGCAAAGAAAATGGCATCTCACATCACAGCAATTCGTAGCACTACTGCAGGACATCCAAACTGATGGGATACGACATGTCCTTGCGGATTGAATCAGTGGATTGAACTTCGCGACAGCTGTGTGGCAGGTAGCAAAGCTAGGGACGGTCCTTGTCGTTGGATGGCGTGAAGCAAAGCCCTGCTTTCTGGACGCAAGAAGGGGTCCTCTCTGCGGCAAGCCCCTAGTCGCGTGCTTGCTCCTAGTAGTAAGGCCAGGAGCCCCTAGTAGCGTTCTTATTATATATATATATATACTGTATATATATATATAAGTAATGAATGGCTCAAGCCATTTCAGCATCAAGCCGTGGTGTGTGACGCACACCAGGCTAAGAAGAAGGGTGCACTCCAACACTGACGAGGAGTAAGGCCTGTTCGTGAAGACGGATGGCATCCATGAAGCGGCACTACAAGATCTGCCAGCAGTGCAGATCGAGCTGGATTTGGGAAGACAGGCTCATTGGGAAGCCACATTTGAAATGCAATCAATGTGGAACCTCATGGCAGCAGAACCTCCTACCAGATCTTCGCCGAAAGGTCACATGGGCTGCTTGGAACTTCCCAGGAGGTGGCAGCAAATGGCCGCAGAAGACCTTCAAGGATGCGCTTCTTGATCCTCCTCCTGGCCTCCTAGGGTGTGGCAAGAAGAAAACCAGAAAGGTCAAAGACTCAGGTCTACAAAAGGCCATGAAAGAACACTGGAATCAGTTGCCAGAAGCCTTCCGCAATCAATGCATGGCCATGGGTTGGCAAGCACCAGAACCACCGGTGACGCAGGATCTGCCGACGTTCATCAAAGAACATTTGCCGAGCTTACCAGCAGACTTGAAGGAGGCTGTAGAGAAGATTGTCACCCCAGACAAACCAGAGCCTACCCTTGCGTCAAAGGTCAAACAGGCAGTTGGTTCCTTAAAGCAGTTGTCAGCGAAGAAGGCAGCACTCCAGCAAAAAGCAGACGCCGTGAAGGCCCAGTACACTCAGTTGCTGCAAGATCTCAAGGAGCTCCAAGGCAAGATCGAAGTTGCGCAGAAAGAGTTGCAAACGACGACAACACAATACAATCAACAACTCGAGCAAGAGAAGCAGAACGATGCTGACATGGCGGACGACCTCTCACCAGAGGCGCTCATCACTGCAATGGCCAGTGTCGGACTGCAGGCGACAAGTGCCCAGGTCCAGGATTTGGCATCAAAGCTTGCAGAGAGCGCGTCAAAAAGGAGGAAGTGTGGGTAACCATCCATGCTATAGCAAGCAGAAAGGGGAACACACAACCAGACTCGAAGGTTACGACATGGGGCAATGTCATGGCAAAGAATTTGGTTGTGCAGATTTTGGCTCCGGACAGGCAGCTGTGGCAGCCAACCCTGAGATGGGGGGGTCAGGCCATGAGGATCTGACTTTGTGGGGGAGCTGGTGAAGACGCAATACTCAGCTCGCCAGAAGAAGAAATCTCAGAAATTTTTGGCTCCGCCAATAGTTTCAGAGGATCGATGAGTTCTCTGGACTACGTGGCACAAAACCTTCAGTGCCGATTGGGCAACCCCAGAAATCGGTGCTATGCAAACTCTGCTTTCCGCTTATGGGCGTGGGCTGGCAGCTTCATGGGAGGAGAGAAGCTATGGCGGCTCACAACACCTGCAGTTCAGGGGGCACTGAACTCGGATGACGCAGTACACTTGCCGGCCTTGCCAGGCTTGGAATCTCTGTGGAACAAATTTGATGATGACACCCAAGATGATGCATCTTATTTTCTGCAGGAGATGGTTGACCTTGCACAAACAGAGCAAGTCATCAAGAGTTACCATTCGGTTGATTTTGGGCAACAAGTTCATCAACGGCAAGCTTTCCCAGTTCATTTGGTCTTCCCAGAAAAGGAAGGACCAGCAGAGCTGGAGCATCTCATCTCCGAATGGGCCAACTTCCAAGAGGGTCAAGTGTTTGACGGGCTAGGCCTTTGGGTGGCTCAAGTGGGCCGCTATGCCAAGGTCAGTGGAGAGTGGACCAAACACCACAGAGCTCTTCAGGTCCCTTCCATTTTCAACCTGCCGGTCACGCTGGACAGCAATGCCACAGGAACTAGGCAGTTCTCAGTCATTGGTTATCTGTGCCATGCTGGCAACACACACAACAGTGGGCACTATTATGCTGTTTTCCTGCATCGGGGCCTCAGCTGGATTGTCGATGATGGTGCCTATCCAAGAGTGATGCCACAAGTTCTCAAGCAAACGCAGCAGCAG